ATTCTCCTGCCTCAGCCTCCCTAGTAGCTGGGATTACAGGTGCTCACCACGATGCCTGGCTAATTTTTGTATTTTTGGTAGAGATGGGGTTTCACCATGTTGGCCAGGCTGGTCTCAAACTCCTAACCTCAGGTGATCTGCCTGCCTCTGTCTCCCAAAGTGCTGGGATTACAGGGGTGAGCCATGGTGTGCTGCCGCCTCTTTTATTCTTAAGTGAATTTTCCATTCTGCATAATTTGATCTTTTCCAATTTTTCTAATATTATCTGCATAAATTATTATAACCTGTATCAATTATTTCCTATATAAATTTCACAAACAAGATGTGATCTGTCAATCAGGTGTTTATTTGTGTAATACAATGAATTTATGTATATGATGTTCTTTTCTATCTTTTAAAAAAAAAGAGAGAGAGACCTAAGATGATGTTTCTTCTTCCAGAAAAATTTTTCTTGCTGCTCACAGTGGACACACTCCTTGATATCTTTAAAGGAATTTCATGTTGGGTGCAGCAGCTCATGCCTGTAATCCTAACACTTTGGGAGGCCAAGGCAGGAGGATTGCTTGAGTCCACGAGTTTGGGATCAGCCTAGGCAACTGGACAACAGTCAGATTCTGTCTCTACAATAAATAAATAAATAAAAAGTTGGGCATGGTGGCACATGCCTGTAGTCCTAGCTATTTGGGAGGATCATTTGAGCCCAGGAGGTTGATGATGCAATGAGCCATGATCACGCCACTGCACTCCAGCCTGGGCAACAGAGCAAGACCATATCTCAAAAAAATACAATATAAAAAGGGATTTCCGGGCTTATGAATGTTCTGACCTCCCACACATCTTGAAGTCTGGCTGGAGTTTGTGGAAAGGCTGATTTTCTTCTTGTTCATGCTACCTGTGCAGAATCCTCCATGGGACCAATCAAGGCAGAGGTATTCTGGTCCATCTCACCCATGGCCCACAGAGGTCTCTTTCTGCCCCATCAACCTTGCAACACCCTTAAAAGCAAATCTCAGCCTGTTGCCTCTCTCAGGTCAGCCTGAGCCTCCACAGCAAAAGCAACCTCATACATTGCACTGACATGGAATTCCCAAGTGAATTCTATGTCATGCCCCAGTGATCACTGTCTTAC